CACCAACAGGATGTGCAGTACAGGAAGGAAATCAACAAAGCAGTCAGAAGACTATGCAATTTTGTGTGCTCAACTAATACAATTACATAAGGCTTGGTTTAGGAAGTGTGCTTGCATTGGTACTGTGACCCGAGAGTCATGCTGGGTCTCCAGTGCTAGGTGACAAGTAGCGGATTTCTTTCCCTGTGTCTTTGAAAAATCTTATTAGTTCATAACAGAATGCTATGCTACTATTGCTTCTATTCAAAAAATTAAAGTACACCAAGAGGGATAATGGTCAAAGCTTTGGTACTAATATTTTTTCATAAAATATATTTATAAACATATTTGTATGATATATCATGCATATTTTAATATTAAATATAATAGTTGTGCCATTCGTCTTTATTGTCAACTTGGCTAGATAAAGAGACTTGCGGAGAGGTGAGTGGATCATGGGGATTGCTATGCTCCTGCGTGGATTCGTTCACTCGTGCTCGGAGCTGGACGTGTTGTGTGAATTGGGACCCTGATGGAGGGTGGGTCACTGGGGTTGTGCCTGTGGAGGGTGAATCTCCTGCTGGCATCTTCCCCTGTGCTCTGCTTCTTGGAAACCATGAAGTGAGCAGCTTGGCTCCACCACGCTCTTCCGCCGTGATGCTCCGCCTTGGACCCAGCCACTGTGAAAAACAGCCAGAGCAAACCTCTCCTCCTTTAAGTTGCGAGTGTCAGGTGTTTTGTCCCAGCAACGGGAAAGCCGCCTAATATACATAGTACTTTTTTTTTTTAACTTTGGCATAATATAGAAGCCATTAATAGCCAATGCATGCTATCCAAAATAAATAATAATTTGGATCTTGTCAGAATTTTAAAAAACTTTTGTGCTTCAAGAATTGTAATTAAGAAAATGAAAAGGTGAACCATGGAATGAGAGAAAATATTTACAAATCATACATCTGATAAAGGATTTATCTAGAATATATATATATAAAATATATACTACATAATAATGTGCATATATATATATATATACACACACACACAAATCAATAATCAAATATAACACATTTTTAAATAGGAAAAAGCTATGAATACATATTGCACCAACCACTATGGAAATCAATATGCAGATACCTCAAAAGACTAGGATTAGTAGTCCCATCTGACCCAGCCATCCCCCTGCTGGGTATCTTCCCAAAAAAATTAAAAGCATCCTACCACAGTGATATATGCGCACCCATGTTTATAGAGGCTCAGTTTGTAATAGCTAAAACTTGGAAACAGCCAAATTGCCCATCATCCGGAGACTGGATAAAGAAGATGTGTGTTCTTTTTTTTTTAATAAAGTGGAATACTACTCAACCATAAATAATGAGAGACTAGAGATAATAGATAATAGACCATGTTAAATAGGAAGAAAAGGTCTAAAGGGGAAGGGAGAATTGGGGGGTAGGGGAAAGGAAAAAATGCAAAGAAAGTCTTTGTAAATAGGAAAGGGTGCAGGGGTTGAAGGGAGGGCAGGGGAATGGAGAAAAAATGAGAACCAAGATGTATCATGTAAAGTTACAAATTCCCAATGATGAATGCCACTGTATTGTATACCTAAAACATACCAATAAACAATGAATAAAATTTTTATAAAATACATATTGTACCAAAGAAAATATAGGAATGAGGATAATAATGTGAAACATGTTGAACATCACTGGTTATTAGGGTAATGCAAATTCAAACCACAGTGACCCATTAAGGTGGCTATAATAAAAAAGACAGTAGTATGTGGTAGTAGGGCTGTGGAGAAATTAGAAGCTTCGTACCTTGCTGTTAAGGAAGTAAAATGATTCGGCCACTATGGAAAAGAGTTTAGCAGTTTCTTTAAAGGTTAAACATAAATTTATCATATGACTAGGCAATTCCACTCCTAGAAATTTTTACAAGAGAAATGAAAACACGTGTCCAATATAAAACTTGTGTGTAAATGTTCACAAGAGTGTTATTGACAGTAGCCCTAACTGGAAACTTCCCAGATTACGGCAGAATCAAATGTCCATTTTTAATTACCAGATATAAAACATGAATAAAGACTTTTGAAGCTCTGAACTCCAGGATCAGACATTTACAGCACAATGAAGAAGAGTCTTCTGGGAGCTTCAAGTAGTTCATAAAGATGGTCGGCCCAGAGCCAGGCTAGACTGCTGGAAGGACTGGTATTAACTCCCAGCTGCAAACATCTGTACTCTCCTGTTCTCATTTCTCCTTCCGAAGGAGAGGAAAGCCAAAGTCCTAGGTCTAAATCTGATTTAATAAAGTAGCTAACTCATTTTTTGCCTGGAACCAGTCACTTTTGCCATCATAATATAGGTTATGTCTGCAGCTTGCCTTCCTCATTCTTTTATTTTTTAATTGCAGTACTGGAGATTGAACTCAGGGCAAGGGCCTTCATGCCAAGGTACATCCCCAGCTCTTTTTATTTTTAATTTTGAGACAAGAACTCACTAAGCTGCTGTGATAGTTAACTGTTTTGTGAACTTGAGTAAGAAATGCCCCACTGATTGGCTTAGCACACTTCTGAGTGAGACTGAAAGGATTTACTGCAGAGGGAAGACCTAGCCTGCGTGTGGGTGACATCAGCCAATAGGATGGAAGCCTGGCTGGAAGAAAAAGGGGAAGAAGGGAGGCTCACTTCTGTTTCTTCAGAGGAGCTCCAGTCTTTGCCACTGCCTTGGACGTTAGTCTCTCAGGCACAGACCCTTCAACCTTCCAACACAGACTCTGGCTTCCTGATACAGATACACACAGCACTCTACAGCGAGATCAAAGCCTTTGGCTTTTGACTAGAACCCTTTTTCACTCTTCCACACTTGACTGCAGGCAGCCACTGTGAGTCTACCTTTAAAAAAAATGTGTGTGTATATATAT